CTCTTTCCCAGTTCAGGAATGCACTGTACAGCTGGGGGGGGTGGGGTGAAATGTCACAGTCATCTTTCACCTGTGTGCTTTTGGCTCAATGTTTGTGATGGAGGGTTAGTCTTTTGAGCAAAGTACTGGTGGGTTATGGGGGCGAGTCCTGTAATTGCAAACCTTCAACCACGGTCATATGGCTCGGGTTTAAAAAAATATTCCACTTTTCCCAGAGAGCAGAAATCCAACACATCTTCAGCTTGCAACAACCATCTTCTCAGAGGAGTGAGTGATAACAGTTGCAAAACACTGGCTTTCAAGGGCAACCTCTGCCTAATTGCTGTCCTCCCCGCCCCACCCCATTCTGATTATGTACACGCATCGTTGGGCTTCATGGATGTGGAGAGTGGGGCAAAGGAAGGTTTGGGAGGTACGTCTGGCTTTAGCGAGGGCGTGCGTTTCAACCCTGACCTCGTCAGCGAGTTGTAGGTGGTGAGACTCGGCTGCCGAGATACAGTCACAGCCTGCGCCTGTGCAGCGTGGACTTGTATGGAGTCCACCCGCTGCGGGGCCGGTGGTGGGTTGTCACCCCGGCCAAAGCTCTGATTGCGGGAGAGGTGGGACGAGTTAGAGGAGTTAGTGTTGTTTCTTTTGAGGGTCGATGTCTGGTGACTTCTCGTGAGTGAGTTTGTAGGGTAACTTCTCTTGTAGTCCACATTGTAAGCAGAAGAGTGCATTTCCAGCCGCTTGCTCAGGCCACTCTGCGACAGTGAGGCGCTCGGGGGCCCGAGGGAAGCTTCCCGCTGGGGTACTTTTGGTGGCACACTGTCAAGATTTTCCACCAGGTTAACCCCGTGGCTGGGGCTTTTGCTACTGAGATGGTCCTTGATAGTTTTGTACTCAAGGGTGGCATTCTGGTCCTCCACAGTCATCTGAGCCCCATCGCTCATTTTTGGCTGGTCAACATACTCATGCTGGTAGCCTTGCTGGGCTATGGGCAGGACCACAACACTGGGAATGTGGCTAGGAGAAGCCCTGAGCGGCAGGTCGGTTGGGATCACGGGCGAGGCCATTGGAGGGATATCTTTTGTGCAGGCATTAATGAGGTTCTGGTTTCTCTCCCATTCCCTGCTGCCACGGCTGGGCTTTCTCTTCTGTTGCAGGGTTGGGGTGGACTCGGGGGTTGGCAGGGCGGCCAGGTCCAGATGGTGCTGGTCAGCTTTGATTAGCATCTTGGCAGTGCTGCCTGGGGTAGCCAGCTTGCCATTGTGCATCAGAGGCGTGAGGATAGCTTCAGGCTTCGGCTCCTTGGACTGAGCATCCCCAAAGAGGCCGCTGAGCTTGGTAACACTGCTCATGGAGCTGCGGCGGGGGGGGGGCAGCTCCTTCTCCTTCCTCTGCACAACAGCCACGTCTCTACGGCGATGGTCGCAGATGCAGTACACTACGATTCCCGAAAAGACAGCTCCCATGACAAAAGCAAGAATAACAGCAATGGCCAACAGGGTGACTGGCACCAGCTGATCGTGACCCTTCAGGTAACTCTCACGAATCACTCCTGTAATAAACAGCACACAGTGATTAAATCAGCTAAGGATAAGGAAAAGCTACTTACCATTAACTACTTTGTTTAAAGGCATGCCCTGGGAGCTTTTTTAGCATTTTGCAAGGTGATTTTTTATCAGCTTGCCCAAATTTGGAGACATACTGTACATGCCAGCTACATCTTGCACGTGCAGCCTTAGGCTGTCTGTACAGCTTTCAGATCTGGAGTTGAAGACTATAAAGTTCAGGAGGGGAGAGAGAATTTACTTGCAGGGCAAGTGCAATCAGTATAAAATTCTGTCCCTGCACAACTCACACTGACTTCAGCAGGGCAGAACTATTATTTCTTCTCCTCTAACACAGCGCTCATTCCTCCTCACCCTCCATCCAATTTCTCCTCATTTAACACCATCTTATTTTTACTATGGTAAACCATTCACATTGAAAAACCTTGAAAAGGAGGAGACAGAAGCTCTGCAAATACCAGAGAAGTGCCACATTGTTTAAGGCTTCTTTCACTGCCTATCATTCTGTTATCTTTGTCGTGTGTTTTAAAAGTCTGTGTCACATGCCTGTGCCTCAGGAGGATGCTTAACTAACTATGAAAGATAGAGCACAGTGTTGAAATCTATTGAGTCTGATCGATACCTGTCCTTGCTGTTTTAATTTTAAAAAGCTCCGTCTTGTTCTGAACTCCTGAATAGGTCAACCTCTCAGCTGAAAGCCCTGACTCTGAGAGCATCATCTTCTGGTCTTGTGCTGTGGTCAGAGATCACTGTCAAATCTTACTTGGTCCTCCAAGCACCTGCCGTTACAGAAAGCATCTTTTGGCAGAGCACGTGCCTCCTCCATCTGAATCCCCTAATACAGCATTACCCAATACCCTGAATTTCTGAAGAAAGTCTTTTTTTCTGACATAGTTGGGCACCAAGTCAGCACCACTAATGAAACACAAGCATAGAGCCCCAAGTTTGCTTTTTTTAATTTCTGGTTTTGTTCTTAGCATGTAACGAGGAGCAGCCATATCCTGACAAGGAGCTCAAGGAACATCTCTCCCACTTCTTTCTCCAGAGAAGGTCCAAGTGCTAGGGCATTAAAAGCTCCATATACTCTAAGGAAATGCAATCCTTGTCCTTATTACAGGAGAAACAGCAAGACAGAAGACTTCATGAAGATACAAAATTTCCATGTCATAAATCAACTCCTTCTAGAATAATGTCTTTTTATGTATTTGGCAGACAAGGTATTAGTGGCCCAGAACTGGAATCAAATGCAAAACACTCCTCAACAAAATATGTTAGAAGAGCACTGAAAAGTTGCCACTATCTCACAGAAACTTTTGGTAAGTATTCTGGCTAGGTACAGCATTGCTTCTATAGCAGATATTTTTCTGTCCCCATTTAATTGCAGCATTTAGGTGGACAAGGGATATTTGCTTAAAAGATAACAACTTTATATTTAAAGGCAAAACAGCTCCTGAAATCATAAGCCCCCATGTGTAACATCACAGCTGGTTGCCCCAGAAATTACTGTACTGTGACACAGAGAGGATTATGATTTCACAAGGAGAACAGCAAGAGCGGATCGCTTAAGAATGTAAGATCCTGCATTCATATAAATGTCTTAATAGTGAAAAAGTAAGGGGAAGAAAGTACATCTCAGAAAACAATATATAATTAGAAACAATCTTCAAATTACGTGTTTCTAAGAGAACCCTATTTTAAAGCACAGCAGCCTTTTAAGAGGCAGATTTTTCTATTCTTTGTCATCAGCATTTAACAAATGGCAGTAGAACCTAGCCCTGTAATTTAAATCCACATACAAAATTGCTGTGTATAGACCAGAAGCACAGTCTAATGGTTATGGCACAGTGAGTAGTAACTACATTTCACTGCAAAGGTGTTGACCTTCCGTGGACCTTACATCTGCTGATATTTACATGCTAGATTCTGAAGCATTTTGAGACCAAATTTCTTTACACTTGTAAAACTGTCTGTGGTCATTAACTGGAGAATCAGAAACAGAGCTGGGCATTAAGTTAAGGAAAGCTTCAATTTAAAATTCTAATTTCATGGACACCTTCCATGCACAAACTTACCACAGATGGCCCTTTGAGCACTTAAGTCCAATGTTTTTTTTGCATGAAAAAGATTCAAAATCCCTGCTCAGTGCCCACCTAAGGGTGTATGGCTTCATGAAGTGCAAGTCATACCTTACTAACTTAATATCCTTTTATGTATAAAAAAGAGGCTGGAGTGCAACCCTGCATAAAGGGGTCTGGTGGTTTTGTTGATGGTAAGCTCAATACGAGTCAATAACGTGCCCTCGTGGCCAAAAAGCCAACCCTATGAAAATATTAGAACGTGTCCTAGGGATAGGATGCGAGGGAATGGCTTAAAGCTCACATCCATGCCTGACATTTCCTACTGGCTAAGTGAGGTTGTTCTCCACCATCGGCCTTCTGCTTTAGGTTAAGTCCTACTCTGCCGATGATAGCCTTAAGCACAAACCTGCATTACTGCATACAAAAGCAACACGAGGTCTTCGGTTTTACATTACCAACAGATATTGAATCACTACAAATCATGTTACAAAATTACCACACAGTTCAGACTGATTGACCATGTGTGCTCAAGAAAGTGGTAGGCTGAAATGATGTGACTCACACTGCAGGTGTTCTATCAGCAGAAACTTTCCTGATGTTTATCGTGTTTTCTGTATCAGGGTTAAAGGATATTTAACATCAGTGGCTTTGCTATGGGCAGACAGATCTTATCTGGAAACAAAGTCAGGTTAATTATATAATTTATTTTTTATCATGGATCGCATCCCTGTATCTTTAGTTATGCAAGCAATCCCAACAACTTTAACCTAAATGGAATATGATGGGCAAGATTTGACCCTGCATAAGTGTTTATGTAATAGATAAAATTAAGTAATTAAAAAATATGAGGAATGTTCAGCATCCTACTGTCATGACCACAGGGGGGTTAAATCTAATATGAAATAGGCTGACAACTGCAGTCATTGTCAATCGACATCTTAAGCCCTGAGCATCAGCAGTAACTGCCTTCACAGACTGGGATGAATAAGCAAGTATGTGATCCCAACTATGCACTCAAAACAAGCCAGTTTGAAAGCAGACAGATAGAACAGCGTTCATGCCACTTTACAGACTGAATTGTGTGTGCTTTTACCTAACCTGCAGTTCTTAAAAAAACCCACAGTCCCCAAGGCTCAGTCCAGCACATTCATTAGCACTCATTAAAGAATTAAAATAAATGGACAAAATAATCAGAAAAATGTAGGGCCTACATTTTTGAAAGTCAAATACAGTATTCAGACTCCCAGCTTTGAGGAAATATCTGCTATTGAAAAGTCTTACAGCTATATATTATATAGTTCACAGAATTACCTGTATTGACATTATACCTGGGAGACGTCTAGTGGTAAAAATAGTAGTAAAACTGGAAAAGCTCCAAAGACATAGACAAGGTTAAATATTTGCACCTTCAAAGATCAGACCTTACCTGTTGCTAATGCCACAAACAGGCTGACACTTACCTGTCTCCCTAAAGTCTTCCAGACAAGCTCTGCCATTTGCAAGTGACAACCAGGCTTATGACTTCAGGGTTGTTCCATATGTACTATTATTTCTGGCTACTAAAAAAGCCAGTCTAGTCACCTGATATCCTCCACTTTTCATGGCCATTCTGATTCCCATAGACAACCTGATCCATCCTCCTCCACTAACTTTCTGTAATTTCATCCCATGTCCTTTTATCTGCATCTCCTAACGTCACCATTAATTTTCTTAGTCAGTATGCCCTGTACAGTCTGGAACATGCAAAATCACCTCTTCTTACTCATCTAATGAGACAGAAGACCTGATATGGTATTATCTTATTCTGCTATATATAATTCATTCTTTCTTCCAGCAGAGCTTACAGGTAAGGTTCACAGTGCTGTCTGGTTGCTTAAGAGGACGTTAAGAAAACTGTTTCTAAACTTTCAAAGTGTTTAAATTCTAAAATGAGCTAGTGCTCAGATAAATCACATGAGTAGAGTATTGTTCTAGCTTGTTCACTAAGGGTAGATGGGGAGAAAGCATGGAGATGTTAAATTTTATGTCAATAATACATATACTTTTTCTAAAGTTCTGGAAAAGGTGAGAAGCAGACTTGTTGAATGTCTCTGGGTGAAAATAGGAGAGAAAAGAAAAGACCAGAGGTGATACAATGATATAGATCTACTGTATACTAGATCATCCTGAGCAGGAAGGATACGAGGCTTCTTCTTTTCACCAATTGACAGAACTATACAAGGGCTAGGATTGTACTTCTGTATCTGCTAAAAAACAAGTTAAAAAGCAAGCTGTGCAGAGTGCTGAAAGGATTATTGTACAAAAATGCTGATGAAGCTACTCTGGGCATGTCCTGCTCCTTCTAATTCTAACAGGAAAGAACTTCTGAGGGCAGAAATGTAATAAGGATGAAATAATCACAAAGGAACAGAGTTCATCATTCTAAAGAATACATGGCATGAGTATATCTGAATAGGAATAATGAGTTCAGTACAACAAACTTCAATAAAGGAGGACAGATAAGGAAAGACGTGGAGACTGAAGCATTTACTCCTTTTCTGCTTCATTTTTCAGCAAAAATCCCCACTCTGACCTGTGTTCAGAAATGCAACAAAGTCAGGGAATAAGTGTTGACTAGCACAGAGAAAAGAGGTAAAAAAAATTTAGATAATGTAGATGTTTTCAAGTTGCCTAATTTGTCACTGACTGCTTAAGGAGCTTGCCAAAGCAATTTCTAGACATTTAGAGAACACTGGAAGAAGTATGAGCATCAAGAGCTCTAGAAAAAGACAAACATATTACCTGCTTTTGAGATGAGCCAAAGGGAGGACCTAACAAATGACAGACTTGACAGTCCAATTTTTAGAACAGTAATAACACTACAACAGGTGATTAAACAATCAATTTTACGAGCATCTAAAAGATGACAA